AAATAAAGAGAGAATTTACCATTAAAAAAAAATACTAAAACAAAGAAAATTTTTAATTTTTTTTCTTAAAATAATAATACGTCAACTTGCGGACTTAATATTAATGAAATTTAAAATGTAATTATAATTATTTTTAATTTATGTATATTAAAGGATTTAAACTATTTATTATGAGATAAAAGGTAATACAACTATTAATATCTATTCATTTTTTATTGATTATATCTAATAATATAATTTTTATAAGTTATACATATCATAAGAAAATGAATATTACTCCAATTAATAGAATATATAACAAAAATTTTTACCTAAGCCTTTGCATTTTACTTTGGCATTTGCAGTTTACCTTAGCATTTGCAGTTTAGTCAAACCCTAAAATTATCGGTCTCCTTTTGAAAATTAAGTATCGTCGATACAAATATAAGTATAAACTTTGGATATTTCCCAATTTATTTGTAACAAATTAGACCTCTTTTTTATAAAAAATTAAAGTATATTTATATTTTATAAATCTTTATTATCTATGAGTAAACATACAATAATTTTAAAAAAATATGTAAATAACAAATATTAAAAAAAAATAGTGAAGGAATACAAAAGATAAAGGAGGAAAGTATTAGAATGACAGATTCCCTCTGAGAATTTCAATTTGGATTCTTTGTTTTAACTGATAAAACTCAAGGGGATTTCCTATAAAGAGCTTAATTTATATTCATATAGAACGAAGAGCTAGCAGATCCTTCGGATAGTGGCCAAGGTTGTTAGTTATAACCGAGTTACAAAATTATTATCAGGTATATCGGAATATTTATTAATTTTGTTGACATCTAGAGGACAATGTCGATATTGATACTTGTAATAAGCAGGAAAAATCCCAATTTAAGATTTTTCCGCTTTCCCACCCTTTTATAGGAAAACCATGAGGTATTTTAGATTAGCGATAAAATTTCAGGGGGGGGGGGGTTCAGACGATTTGTGAACCTAGTCTAGAGAATAGATTTTAAAAGAATATGATATTCATTCTATCGAAAAGCATAAAATGTGTTAAACTTAAATAAATAGTTAAATTATATTACATAAATATTAAATTAATTATTAAACCTTGTTAGACTTGGAATACTAAGTATTACAAAATAAATTTTACTTGATATAAATTTTTACGGGAGCAGGAATTTTATTTTCTTCTATAGACAAAATACCGTGGACAACGAGGACCAACTTAAAATATTAATTTAATTTTTTTTTTCAACAAAAAAAAGAAATGTTTTGGATAAAAAAATATTTTAGATAAGATATATCGAATTGTAGCATCTCGTATTTCGTGTATACTAACCCTAGCGCACATCAGGTCTCTCATTATTAGTTAAAGTAAAATATAAATAGCCCTAGTCATTCCATATATGCTAACCTCGACACATTGCCGCAATCCATGTCTAGGTAAAACATATCTAACCCTAGCAAAGTTGTTAACGCTCCATTTTAAAAGGGGTTAATTTCCTTCTCTGCTCCTGTCATTTCAAAAGGACCTAGCTCCTGCCTGCTTAAAAGGAGCGTATTTCTGCTCCAAATAAGAAAAATAATTTATATAATATAAAGGGCACAAAACAAAATCATATTTTTTTTATCGATATAAATTTTGAATCAGAGAAAATGATGTCTCAAAAAAATTTATAATAATTTATTTGCTATACTGTAGTAAATTTTCTAAATTTAAATATAAGCAAGGTTTTGCGCCTAAAACCCGTTTAACAATACTAAACAAATTATCAATATGAACGCTAGCGGGATAAAATGTTTTTTAAATCGTTATTGCTTATTTATAACTAACAAAAATTTATTGTTATTGTTTGTTAAAAAAATTTTTGCCTACTATATTATCTTTCTGAAAATAAATTTGATTGAATCCAAAAAAAATTCGTTGGGTGGTATTTTGGGAAATTGTATATATTTTTGTGTTAGAAATTTTTTTTTATAAAATTAATTTTTATATTTTTTTAATTTTCTATTTTTTATCCTGCCTGTTTACCCATTACCAATTCAATTTGTATTTGGAATAGATAATAGCAGAAATGATTTATCTTTATACACTGATGAAAATCTAAAATTATCCAAGAATATTTAATTTATTTTAAACATTTTGCCAATGCCGCATACAAGAGACCCCAAGAGTTTAGCAAAATTCTAAATCTTCTAAATCATTAACTTTTGAAGTGAGTCTAGAAATAATTGAAGTTAGAAAACCCTCACCTTCAAGGATCTTCAATTTTTTGCCAAAAACTTCATAACCTAAAATTTATTCATTTCGAAAAATATTGTATTAATATTTGGTTATATTCTCTAATAAATTTACGTTCCTGAGAGTTAATGCGTATCAATCTTATATTATTACATAAGTTATTCATATTTTATGGTTTTTGGCTTAATATTTTTTTTAAGAATATCATGTATTCATATCATAATATGAATTCCATCATGTGGTATTTAGACATATCAATTATCTTCCCAATTTTTTAATTACATTATCATTAATATTTGCAGATATATTATGTTTATTAAAGACTGACACTTTTGAAATGAGCTTTGAGATATAATTTTAAGTCCTATATTTTATAAAGCTTTCTCCGCGTCAACTGTGATCACCAAATTGATATTGTGGAATGTAAAAAGTGAAATGTTATGGTAGAAAATCTTTTATTTCTGCTCAGTTAATCAGACGATACCACAAGTTAAAAATCTATCCATTTTTAGAACTTTTATGTTCAAACATCCACCTCATTTAGAAGAGAATTTCTGGTAGGATGGAAACGGAAATATTATTGAATGAATCCGTTTCACTATTTTCTGCATTTATTGATAAAACGTTATCGTCTTCCAGAGTTTTTGTTTTATAATTTTAGTTTAAAAAATGGCGAAAATAAATAAATATAAAAAATTTATTAGAAAGTTTAAAAATATATTTAATTTTAATTTTTGGAAGTTTCAAAAATGATCTAAGCATTAAGTTTAAATTTAATATTTTATTATGGTTTCCAATTCATATTATCATGCCAAAAAGGGTTAAGCAATGACATATCAATATATAGTGTTGACCAGATTTAATTAAAAACATTTCTATATTTTATAATTTATTTGAAAATAAAATTATTTGACTTGCAAAAAATTGTTAAAATAATATTTATATATTCTTATATTTTATTTACTAGAATTAAAAAATATGGAAATGTTTTAAATTAAATCTACACAACACTGTAATTAATTTATTGTGATAATATCACGAGTGTTGATAAAATTTAAACGATAAATTTTACAATTTATTTATTCAGCACACGTAATATTACTTATAAATCCATTTACATTAGAATACCCTCTATTACAATTGAAATTTTAACATATAGCGTTATTTATCAATGCTGTTAAGGTAGATATTGAAAATAGCACGATAAGAAAAAGTAGTTAATTAATAACCACGTCTCTTTTTGGGGGTTTAAATAGTTAAATGCTCTTTTAGAAATATTTAAATTAATATTCTAAAATAATGAATATAATTTATTTTTATAATATTTGATCGGATATATTTTAAAAAAATTAAATTTGTGCAAATCCTTTGAACCTCACTTGCATTGTATTCATTCAAACTGGCTAAAGTGTTATATATTTCATCGTCAGTCTCATAACAAAATTAGAACATGTTGTATTTAATTTTTTTGAAGATATTTTCGACGAGGTTGTATATCTTTATCCAATTCAATGAGAATATTAGCTTAGGGAAAATTTTAGGGGAAATGGGTTCTTTGCTTGAAAAAAACCCAGATATATCTTTTCTTAAAAGCTAATACAAAATTGATATATTAATAAAATAATATGCATTTAATAAAACCTTTATCTTGTGTAAAAGATATTTAATTGGAACTGCAATATTTTATTTATTAAATATTAAGTAAAAAAGATTAGGTATACTTTTTTAAAGTAGCTTAGCTATATAAGTAGCGACGTTAAATTTAAAAAAATTGAGCAATGCGCTACCTTTTTACGAAAGTAGAAAAACTACTTTTTTGGATAAAGAGGTGTATATTTAGCGTGCTACTTTATAAAAGTATAAAGGATTGTTATGCATTTATTTTCGGCATATTATTTGCAAATTCGTTTGCCAAGCAAATTATTAAAGGCAACATTGGGTAATCAAGCAATAGAATTTTTTAAAAAAACTGAAGGACGTTGTGTTTTTAAAATATAAAATGACCAGTATAATTCAAATTTGTATTTAGTTTTATTCAAATTATTAAGAATTGACTTAATATCAAATTAATTTTCAATAAAAAATTATTTAATATTCGAAAGAAGTTTTATAAAATAGCATATTTTTGCACCCGAATATCATGGGTAATTTAAAAGCTAGCTATATTAATCTTTAATGAAATCTCTGGATAACGATCCTTTTTTTGTATTAATAACTTACTTATGTAAAAGATAAACCCTTTTAAAGCCTCGTTATATATAATATAGAAAAATTAAACAGTTATAAAGTGTCAAAATTCTTATTAGTTATATTGTAATCTATTCATGTTAAAAAATTAATTTTAAAATATCCCTAGGTTTCTTTCTTTCTTTTACCTCCATTCTTGTTAAATGAGTGAATTATTTTTGAACATTTTCTAAATTAGATCCACGACTACATCATTATACAAAATTCATAAAATGTTTTTAAGGTTAAATTAAACTTTATTTAATTTAAATCTCAAATCTTAACAAATTTTATTTACATTTTTAATTTTTATTTATTTATGGTAATATAATAATAAAAAAATATTCAACAAAATATTCAACAACGAATTATAGCTTTTTCGATTTCCAACAAGATTGAAAATAATGGATAAAAATATTATAAAAAGAAAGGACCAACAATCAAAAAAATTATGTATAAAAAATTGCAGATATTAATCTAGACAAGTGATTGAAGTTAATGTCATAAGATGCCATATATTATTACATAATATAGGAAATGTAACGATTTAGTAAGAACAATTTTAATAATAAAACACATTATATCAAACAATTAGTAAAATTACAAAAAAAATTATCATTTGGTGCAATGCAGATACTTTAGACACAATATTTAATGATTTCGAGGTAATATTTTATCAAAGAAAGATCGTCTATAAGTGTAGCGAAAACTTCTTAATTAATGTAACAAATATTACAAAAAGAATGAATACATGATAGCATAACTTTCTTACAAAAAAAAATGTATATAAAATTTTGTTAAATATTTTAAGCAAATATAGATCCGTAACGGCTATTTTGCGAAATTTTTCCATTTTTATCGAGTAGCGCGTGTTGAATTTGTTCGTAAGACGGTAACTGTTTGAGGGTACCAAGGGCAGCCACAGAAGGTTTGGAGGCCAAAAACTTTTGTGCTACAACTACTATATCTTCCTCACTTACTTTACCTGTCATTATATAAAAAGAGATATATATTTTGCCTATTCAAAAATGGATATGAATCAAATAGTGCATTATTCATATTCGATTTGATTAAATGAATATAATTTACTATTGGTATTCGATTTAAATAATTCGTTTATTAAATATAATTCAAGCACTAATATGCCAACAAACGCCAATGATTGCCAACAAGTGCCCAACCACTAATTTATTAATTAAAGCACCCATACGCTAATCTAAATAGCGGAATACTTATCATTAATAAATTCACGTTTGATCAATTATTAGCGCTTGTTGATTCATCATTCACGGTTAACGCGAATTTGTGGCGAGGAATACAAAAAATAGAGCATATTTTGTATATTTCGCCGCAAATTCGGGCTAATGTGAATGATGACGCTCCTTAGGTGAAAAAGCTATCAAATGAAAAGGCAATAGACCACTTACTTATCTCGTTGAGCAATTGTTGCGGCAATTTTCTGGAACCATTTGCTAACACCTGACGACCAATGTCCTCAAAAACGACGGGCCTTGACTCCAAGTTCATCATAAGCATGGATTGCAACTGTTTTTTAGATCGTTCAAGTTCCGTCTTTTCAAATGTTTCGTTTTAATGAGTGTAAGTTTCAAAAATATAAGAAAAATGTAATTCAATTTTATCGGTTCTTTTATGCTGTAATTATTCATTAGGGCTGTAGAAAACAAAACAAAAATTCAAGTTATTGTCAAATTAGGGGAGACCGGGGTAAAGATATTGACGGAATAACAATATCTTATCTTTATCTTATAAAAAGCATTCCTAGCGTAATATATTTTCGCAAGTAACTGTTTTTTACCCAAAAATGTTATAAGTCATAGTTATAAATAATATCGGAACTTTATAGCTTAACTAGAAGTCACACAATAACGATTTGTATAACATATCACCTTGGATAAAGATAAATCTATGGATCGGCAGAGCTTTACTAATTTTATACTGGTTATTTTTTTCTCAATTTTTAAATTACCTGAGATACGCTTTTGGTCATATTTGTAAGCTCCTTCAATACTACTTCAGCGAGTTCAGCAAGCTGGGATGGGTGGGCCGATGCATGCACGCAAAAAAGGCCTGTGTCTGAATAAGAATGATTGTAAGCCGTGGCGTTAAATATCCAGTGGTGACTTACAATTTGAAAAAATATATATGGTTATTGCACATCAAATTAAGATATTTAATTTAACAAATTAAATATATTTGCTCTACTTAAATTATACACTCTTAATCTAAAATTTTTAGCTCCCTATAAATAATTCTTACATGTTAAGCACGTTGAGATAGAGACGCGAGTACATACCCTTACCAGGACCTCCAGCCGAGAAAGAGCCACCCCCTCCCATCATGGCATTCAGGACGCAAGCAGGCACGAATGTGGGGTCAGAGTGTGCCACACCTTCCAAACCTATCACGCAGTGGGCAAGTTCGGGCAATGGATTTGGTCCCAAACTGATGTCAGACATGTCCTTTTCTTTCTATTTTTAATATTTTACTAAATGAGTTAAATTGGTAAGTTAATTATATTATTAAAAAAGTAGAAATACACTTATTATATGTAATGGAGGGGGATGCCGATATGTATAAAATTTTTTGAAACCTTCCTGATTCCGCCAGTATATTGAGCGACTGAGCCATCGAATCCAGGAATTTTAACTCCTGTCAGCTCTTTACAACCTTCCCAGGTTGGAATTTTCCTGAGAAAGGTTTTGTGTACCACTTCAAGTAGCGCGTCATGTTCAATGCCTATTTTTTAAAGATAATATATAAGATATACCCATCCCTAAAAAGGTTAATTTCTATAACGAATATAGATGCAACTACGGCTGCACCAATTTTTTAACTAATCCGATATTTAGATTCGTTTAATAAAAAATTTCTAAATAAATTTTTAACTTTTATAAAATCAGGATATTCCCTTGTCTCCATTATTGGGTCATTCCATGTCAAATGAGCAAAAAAATCAAGATTTTCGGCCGAACCCTTTCAATTTCAATAAAAAGCTTTAGACTGGTTATATATGTTCCCATTAGATCATAAACGAAATTTTAGCGCATTAGCAATTATATTAGCGGAGATAATCGGGGTTAAAGGTCCAAAAAACGTCTTTTTTTGCTTTTTACTGATGTTAAATAATTAGTTTTTAATTTAAAATTAAATATGATCAAATATTGAATCTAATATCAATAGCTAAGTTAATAATTGATAATTATGGCAAAAACATCAAAATTATATTTCGAAATGAATATGATCTCCAATTTTTAATTTTTTTAAGAAATATTATCCTTTTACTATTTTTTTAAGAAATATTATCCTTTTACTATTTTTTTAATAATTTCTTCAACAATTAGCATGGCTGGATATTTATTTAAAAAAATATTGCGATTTTTATACTTTAAAAAAATAGATGGCGCTCTATATAATAGTTTTAATATGTTAAAATTCATTTTTTTATTGATTAAAAATATTTTAATGTATAATATATCATAAAATTCGATTATATAACTTTGTAAACCTTATTCCCCTGAGATATTCGCAGGATAAAAAATTTTAATAATTTTTTTAATATTTCAATGTAAATTAAAAATAATTAAAAAATCCGACTAGCATGCGAACAAAAAAGCAGGATTAAAAGAGTGCAGGAAAATTATTAAGGAAAAAATCGAAAATCACATAATTACCCGGCCTACCCTCCATTCCCCCCCCCCATACTAAGTCATACCCATCAAGACCAAGAATGTTATAAAATTGTCATTAACCAGAAAATTTCAAAGATTTTTAAAAAATTTTTAAGCAATATAAATAACAAAAAATTAACTAGTTATATTGGGTATCAAATGAATTTGAGCATTCTCTATTAGATTTTTGATCAAAGTCTTTGAATTTTGAGCATATGTTTAACACTGGAAAAATTAATAAAAGTAAGTCAGCTGTTTTTATCTTTTCTTAAAATTATTAAAAATAAACTGATTAGCAAAATTAATTAGCGAATTTAATCTATAAATCACAGTTGCTAAAAATACAAATTGATTTCTTTATTATTTTTTCCCAAACACCGATTCATTTCTTTAACATTTTTCTAATTTAAAAAAAACTAATTTTTTATATTTTTACTTGTCGTTAAAAATAAATAAATTTTTCTAAATGAAACCTTTAAAAGGTAAGCTAAAGTGTTGCAATCCACTGAATAAACCAAAACATAAAAATTTAAAAAAAAATTTAAGATTAGTTCTTCCATGGATGCTTAATATAAATAATGATTTATATCTTCAACAAAAAATATGTTATTATATTAAAGGATAACTTTGATAAATTATCAAAAAATCAACAATATCAAATTCTTACAATTTTGCCTCAGAGATAGAGTGTAAATAAAATTCAAAAGGAATTCAACGTAACATCATACATAGCAAGAAAATCTAAAATGGTGGTAAAAGAAAGTGGAATTCTTTCATTTTCAAAACATAAGGCAGGAAAGACACTAAACGAAAAAACATTTAAACTCGTCAAGGATTTTTATAGTTCTGATGAAATAAGCCGACTCATGCCTGGAATAAAAGATTGTGTATCTGTTAAAGGCGAGAAAGAACCAGTTCAAAAAAATAATCTTAAAGAAATATTCAAGATGTTTAAGGAAGAATACCCAAATATATCAATTGGATTCTCTAAATTTGCCGAACTTAGACCAAAAAACTGTATTTTAGTTGGAGCTAGTGGCACACACACTGTTTGTGTCTGCGCTATTCATCAGAATGTGAAATTAATGACAAATGTAATAACTGAAATTACAGCAGAAGATTACTGTATAAATTCTTACAACTATCTTTTGGCGCAAATTATTTGTAATCCATCTCAGCCAAAATGTTATTTAACAAATTGTGATCAATGCCCTGGTATAGAATCTCTTAAGGAACAATTATACCAATTGTTTCAGAGAAATCGTATAGAATATGTCACGTTTAAACAATGGATAACGGTGAATAGAACAAATCTTGAAACTATTATAAAGTATGTTGATGATTTCATCGATTATTTATTAGAAAAAGTTCAAATTTTACTGCGTCACTCGTTATAGCTACACAACAAAGTTTATTTTTGAAGAATTCCAAAGAAAATTTAAAAGATGGGGAATTTTTAACAATTCTAGATTATTCTGAAAATTATTCCTTCATTTTACAAAATGAAGTTCAGGGATTTCATTGGAACAACGTGCAGGCCACTATACATCCATTTGTAGCATATTATAAATCTGTAGAACATTTAAAAAATATAAATTTTGCTATTATATCCGAATCATTAAACCATAATACTAGTGCAGTCCACCTTTACCAAAAAAAATTTATTAATTTCTTAACAGCCAAATTTAATTCTAAACCAGAAAAAATAATATATTTTTCAGATGGAGCCGAGTCTCAATACAAGAATCGCAAAAATCTGAACATATGCCTTCATAAATACGATTTTAATATTCCTGCCGCATGGCATTTCTTTGCCACTGCTCACGGCAAAAATGCATGTGACGGTATCGGAGGAACTGTCAAAAGATTAGTTGCCAGAGCTAGTCTTCAAAGGCCAAATAAAAATCAAATCCTAACCCCATTAGAATTATATAATTATGCTAAAGAAAATGTTAATGGAATTCAATTTGAATATATATCCAATCAAGAATATATCGAAGGGGAATTAGCCCTTCGTAAAAGATTTAATTCTGCGCTGCCCATACATGGGACCCTAAAAATTCACGGGGTTATTCCCATTGATCAAAATAGACTAAAAACCAAAATATATTCAAATTCTAAAAAATATAATATAAAACAAGTTTCGTTTTTAAATGAAAAAATTATATTTAAAAATATTAATGGATATGTAACATGTGTATATGATGATAAATGGTGGTTAGGATATATAATCGATAAATATATGATACAAATGAAGAAGTAAAAATCTGATTTTTACATCCTTGTGGACCTTCAGCCTCATTTAAATTTCCCATGAAAGATGATATTTTAGTGTTACCTAAATCTCATATTCTTTCGCTGGTCAATCCTTCTACTCCCATCGGTCGAACATATATATTATCTCCTGAAGAAATCTCACAAGCTAGCCAGGCTTTGTATTCCTTTAGATGAAGTAAGATTTAATTAATTTATATGATATATATAAATTAAAATATTTTTATTCAACAAAAAAAAACGAATTTTAACATTATAAAACTATTATATATAGCGCCATCTATTTTTATTAAGTATAAAAATGGCAATATTTTTTAAAATAAATATCCAGCCATGCTAATTGTTAAAGAATTATTAAAAAAATAGTAAACGGATAATATTTCGTAAAAAAATTAAAAATTGGAGATCATATTAATTTCGAAATATTAGTTTCAAATTTTCAACTGACCATAAGATGACCCATATTTTAAAAAAAATTAATTTTGATTTTTTTGCCATAATTATCAATTATTAACTTAGCTATTGATATTAGATTCAGTATTTAATCATATTTGGTTTTAAATTAAAAACTAATTATTTAACATCAGTAAAAAGCAAAAAAAGACGTTTTTTGGACCTTTACCGCTAATATAGTTGCGGGCTAAAATTTTGTTTGTGATCTAATGGGAACATATATAACCAGCCTACGATTTTTTATCGAAATCGAAAGGGGTCGGCCGAAAAGTGATTAATTTGACATGGAATGACCCTTACTAACATAGATAAAGATTAATATGTTGATATGAATTATTTATTATAATGTTAAAATCTTAAAGGCATTGAAGAGAAAAATAGTGTTTCATGTTAGAGGTCGCACAGCCAGGCCTGTGAACCAAAAAATAAAATATTTTATGAGCTGGGCCAAAATTTTGAAAATGTTTTTAAGCTAATAATAATGCAAAATCTATGTCGTTTTCTTAAAAAAAATAAGAAAACTTGTACAAAATGTATTTTTCCAGCCAAAATTTCCATCAGCCGTTAAGGGCTGACATCTTTTCCATACACACCATACTTCTTATTTATATATATGGATGATAAAAATTTTCCATGTTAACTTAGCTCTCAAACAAACAAATGTAAACCTTTTATATTCAAGTAGTGTAGTAATATATTTATAGTATAATTCGAGACCTCTCGCCTTATATCAATTACTGGTATCAATTCCTTAAATTTAAAAAAAAATCCGATGATTAAGCATGTGTAAAGCAATCCACTGAATAAATTTCACAATTTTCGGCATGAACTTGTGTGTATTATATAATTTAAATTATGTAGTTAGTTTGACAAAAATTAACAGTGTACCCTATGCTCGAATACATTTCCGGTCAAATCAGATTATTCAAATTTAAAAATTGCCCTCAGTAAATGATTTAAAAGTCGAGATTCCGAAATCCTGTGGATTCTATATTTCAATATGGCACGTATATTTATATGATTAAGTTAATTTTCTTTAAACCAATAGGTAAAGAATTTTATTTTAAAAATGTATTTTTCCTAGAATAAAAAGTTTAAATAAAATAAAACGAATTATAATAAAAAACAAAGGTATAATGAAATATAAAATGATAAATAATTATATTAAACTCTTCTTAATAAAAATTAAGGGGTCGAGTTGAATAAGCTTCCTCGTGGTGGCGATTTACCATCTGTGCTTAAGACCGATTCTGTGAGAACGCCTATTGCCGAATACGCCAAAGGCTTAAGTGCAAGCTTTGGAAAAGTCTCAAATCTATGATCATTGAATTAACTCAATCTAATAATCAGGTGGCATTGGAAACAATTAACAATAGTTACTTTGTCAATTTTTTTATTCTCTTTTAGTTTATAAGATTCCTATAAATTATTTTTTTTGCCTGAAATAAAGCATCAGTATACTCAATTAATTAAATACAATAATTAAACATATTATTTTTAAATTTCGTGTATTATCGGGCTTTCAGAGTAAGAAAGGCTTTTAGGGGGAAATAATGGTTTCTATCGTAATAGCAAAATATTCTTAAAAATTAGTAGAAGAACGGTGGGTTAATATGTATGCATCATATTTTCTATTGTTGCACATATATTCGGTACCATTAATTGATTTTAAAACATTTGAGTACTGATTTCTTTTATCCTCCTGTGCAGCTAAGTTTGTTCAATTAATAATTCAGGCATATGATAAGTAGAGTGCCAATGAAAATCGCAAATTTTCGATTTTTCAAATTACAACTAAAAAAATGATTTAAAATATATATGATTTTCTTTATATTAAATTTTTAGATATAAAAAAAAGAAATGGTATTATAGTGCGACCTAATTGAGATTTTCCGAAAAAAACCCAGTTTGCACTTTTATTAGCGCTTATAAATAGTTTTCCAAATAGCAGAAGCCATCTGAAATGCATTACGAACAGATCTATAAAAGATTTTATAGGTTAATAAAAAAAGAATATATAATAATAGGACGAGATTATAATAAAAGCAAAAATAAATTCGACATAGGAAAAGAACACATTTTAATATAATATGTATAACACTCCTCCCTCGGCTCATGACATGAAGAGAGGAGTTTTAATTATTTTTAAATGAAGGGTCAAAAATTTATTTAAAAAATAAAATAATATATCAATCTCCTTATTTAGCAAATTTTTTTTAAAAAACACGTTTATAAATTCTTTATGTTTGACATATCGAAAACGATCTTTCCTCTTTGTCCAATTATCTCTCTCTTATCACACCGTGGATTTCCATGACTTTGCGATGTGTACTTAAACGAGATACCACGTCAAAACTTCTATTGTTAGCACGATTATAGATGGGGGGATAAAGGTTAAAAAATTAAAATCAAGACACGAGGGATCAATATTAGACAGGCATAAAGTTAGCGAAAGCCTATAAGGGGACCTTGTAGGATGTCCTTCGATAGAACAAAAAAAGATAGGTTTCAAAGAGTTTATTGCATGATTAACAATCGTAAGAAATCAATCCATGGTTCTATGCACTTTTCATATTTTTAAAAATTTTAATATCTCATTTTTTTAATATGGTTTGTAAATATTTTAATATAAAAAAATTTTTAAATATATTTTTTTGTGTATTGGCCACTGTTATTGATTAAAATGGAAAATATCGAACGAGATATTTCTGGAGAGATAAGATAAGGAAATGGTCAATTTACGAATTTTATAATACCAAATCTAGTAAATTTTACTGAAGCAATCAAAGAAAAAAATTTACCGACTCCGGCTATAACGATGCGCTCAGGTATAAAATGATCCCTCATGTAGGTGTATAGTAGCTTACGATCTATTATAGGGATATTTTCCTTCGGGCACAATTTCGGAAGGCCAAGCGTGTTGTCTCTATAGGCGGCCTAGAATAAAATAGGGTTACATATTTATAAGGTTAAAAATAATAATATATTTTATAAAATTTGACTATTTGTAAAAATTAATGCTGTAAACAAACTCGTTCAAATTGAACGAATAATGACTGGCATACCTTTTATTATTTATGAACTTTAAAGGTGAACGCGTTCCATTTTTTTTCTGACGAACGCATTCGTTTTTTACGTTCTTTCAATTTTAGAAAATATTATTTTTATTCAATTGAAAACAAAAAATATTATTTAAATTTTTTAAGAAAAAGGGTTACTATTTATGTTTCCTTTACATTTGAATTTTTTTAACCAGTCACTATTTCTGTTCAATAGATTAGTTTAATAATTTGAATATTATTTATAGATTAGGGTAAGCATGTATGTTTTTATTTTATTATCATCATCTAATTCTGAAAATTCAGTATCAGATATATTAACATTATCATGGGCCAAATATAATAAATACTTTAAGTAACATCATATCTATCTTTAATAAACTAATTCTATCCTTCAAATGTAAAATGTGCCAAAAAGGTATATCAGTTTCAAAATCTTCAAGTTCTAATTTAAAGAGATATTTGATTGTAATATTTATTATTTTAAATAATATAACCTATTATATTTTATTTTAGATATTTATATTTGATTATTAAATTACAGAGTTGTTATAAGATACTTTTTAAATGGATCTAGATATAGATACCTTGTCTAAAAATGGATACAAATACATCGATTAAAAATGTATCTAGATATAGATATAATTTTTATCATATGATACAGGGTTCGCCATGGTTCTCGAACACTTATTATGAGAGCACAAAATATGTAAACAAGATAATAAAAAAATCTCAATCCCCCTATTTTTATTGTTCTTTCGAACTAATCTCCTTTAAAGCAAGCATTTATTAAAAAAAAATTCTTTACAATAAACTTATAATTTATTCATTAAAAGTCAGAGCAGTATCTATAAAATTTTAAAAAATTCTAAATAAATTTATTTGCTTAAAATAATTTTGTGCATCAATGGTATTGTTTTTAATAATTAATGAGCGTCACGGCCAAGCAAGGATTTATATATTCCTTTATAGTGCGACAAATTGAACGTTTGATATCTATAGATTTAAATGTGGATAAAAATAATATATTTTTTTTATATTTAAATTTTAATATTTTTTATATAAGTTTTAATATTTTGTACATATATATTTTTTTTATATTGGACTTAATATTTTTTAATATATGTATTTAAAATATGTTAATATGAAATAAAATTAATTTTTGTATTCAAATATTTTTATTTTTAATATAAAAAAGAGTTAGATAATAGATATATATGTATAGATATATAATAATAAACATCTTATTATAAATTTATTTTTAGTGTGATTATTTGAAGTTTCGCTATTATTTTTAAGTTTTTATTAAAGGGTTTTCATAATAGTTGAACAATATATAATTCACTTAAAAATATTAATTTCAAAAATGGCTAATATATTGTATTAAAACATATATGGTATTTATTTATATTAAATTATATTGAAAATTTTTTTTAGAGTGATTCCACGTCAAATCGACTTACCAAAAGAGGTTTTTGGTCGACCATCTCAAAAATGAATGAAACTTGGCATGTTAATTATTTATGTTGTAAATGTTAATAAAATCAAAACTTTAGAGTGCTAGCTCAACCAGATCCTAAGATATACGTCTTTAAAGTCAAAAATCGCGAAGTGCGTGATTTCATTAAATCTTGTTATTTTTAAAAATATTTAAGATAGAGTTACAAATTATATATCATTTTATAGCCCTTAAAATTTTATTTTGGAAAATATAAAAAAAATTAAAAAATTACAAATGTTTTCTTTTTCCGACAAAAATATAAAATTAACATTGATAGGAAGGGATTTTTTTGGGGTGTTAATATTCACTAAAAATGTTTATTACCTTTATATTAAACGATTTAATAAAAAATCTCTATAGCCATTTTTGTTTTTTTATTTTATTTGAATTTTTATTATTATTATAAATAAAAAAATGTGATATAGATGGCGTTATATTAAAGATTTTTTATAATATATAATTTTTAATAAAAATATGAATAGTATTGTGATTAAAATTAAAAAATCAATTGAGTATAACCAAGAATGATGTCCTGGGCAGGCAGCCCATACAAATATGATTTTATTAGGACGCTATATTGTAAAATAAACATATTTTAAAATTTTATATTCAAACTATTATAATTTTGCGCTTATTAATAGAAATTCCTAAGGCCATAATTTGTACATGTGGATCTACTATCGTTACTATTTGAAAATAACGATCATATCAGCTCATTTTATTTTCTTATTCCTATCATCGTTACTAATCAATCATCATATATTTCAAAACTTAAACATTTTTTACAACCAAGAATTTATGATAATTTGTGATTTCTCTGAAAATTATGCATTTATAATCCAAGACGCTGTTCAAGGATTCCACTGGAATAAAAATCAAGCCACTATCCATCCTATGATAGCATATTATAATAATGGCAATATAGAAAACCTTAATTATATGGTAATATCAGAGACACTTCAACATAATGTTATTGCAGTACATTTATACAGACTAAAATGATAAAATTTTTGATAAATCAATTCAGCAAAAAGCCAAACAAAATATATTACTGCTCTGACGGATCAGTGGAACAATATAAAAACAGAAATTTTTTATAAATCTGTGTTATCATGAATCAGATTTTGGTGTCTCAGCTGAATGGCATTTTTCTGCTACATCCCATGGAAAAGGTCCATGTGACGGCCTTGGCGGAACATTAAAAAGAGTAGCAACATGTTTAAGCAGCGCATCAGTTCTGGACACAATTTACGACAGTTGATTTATATCAATTTGCAAAACATGCCAATAGTAAATTTTACATATATAACCAACGAACAATACAATTTACAAGAGATTAAACTATGAGAAAGATTCAATTTAGCTCGTCCCATTCCAAGAACTCGGGAAATACATGCTGTATTTCCTTTGAGTTTAAGTAAATTTAAATCAAAAATATATTCATATGCAGAGGACTTTCAAATTGACAATATCTCAAATGCCGATAATTTGTCTTTTGCCGATATTAAAGGATTCGTAACATGTGTTTATGACGATTTTTGGTGGTTAGCCACATTACTAAAAAAGAATGAAATTACTGAGGAGATATATATATTTCCTTTTTACAGCCCCATGGACCATCACCATCCTTCTTTTGCCCAACAATTAGGGAAAAGATATGGTTACCCATTAATCAAATAATAACAATAGTAGATCCTATTATAGTGACAGGACGTGCCTACAAATTATCGTCTCAAGAAATCTATTAATAAGCACAAAATGGGATAAGATTAAAACAAGAGGTATTTATTTTTATATTGTTTGTGTATAAAATTTTAAAATATGTTTATTTTACAATATAGCGTCCTTACAAAATCATATCTGTATGGGCTGCCTGCTTACATATCGCCCCAGGACATCATTCTTGCTTATAATCAATTGATTTTTTAATTTTAATCACAATACTATTCATATTTTTATTAAATATTATATATTATAAAAAATCTTTAATATAACGCCATCTATATTACATTTTTTTATTTATAAAAATAATAAAAATTTAAATAAAATTAAAAAAAAAAAAATGCTTATCAAGATTTTTTATTAAATAGTTTAATATAAAAGTAAAAGTAATAAACATTTTTAGTGAACTTGAAATTTTTTATTTATATTTTCCAACGTAAAATTTTAAGGGCTATAAAATGATATATAATTTGTAACTCTACAAGATTTAATGAAATCATGCACTTCGCGATTTTCGACTTTGAAGGCATATATCTTTGAATCTGATTGAGCTAGCACTCTAAAATTTTGATTTTATTAACATTTACAACATAAATAACTAAAATGCCACCAAGTTTCATTCATTTTTGAGATGGTCGGCCGAATCGCTGGTCGATTTGTCATGGAATTACCCATTCATAAATTTTGAACGAACTGAACGCGTTACTTTTTGCGATGGTGAACTTGAAAGTGAACGCGTTCACTTAAGAAATGATTAAAGCATTAGTAAAAATAAATGGAGTAATAGAACTAAAACATGATATTTAATTCAAAATATTTTATCAATAATTGGATGGGACAAATGATATAATTCTAAAAGGTAGCAGGAATGGACGTTTAAATCAGGGAAGTCCCATCAAAACCGGGACTAATGGCCACAAGTAAGTCATAATATATCTCACAAGTGTAATAAATTTAAATATTCAACAATAACTTTGATAATTTTTATAATGTTTATCTATTCATTACAAAATATGGATATGAAAATGTACAGTAAATATTTTCAGCATTCTGATTTTTATTAAAAGTTTTATTATTTTTTTTAAAAATCCATTTTTTAATTGTGATATCCAATCAAACAAATAGGAAAGAAATATAAAGACATTTTCACGGGTTATGAAATTATTTTAATTATGATTGCCACCAGTGGAGTTAAAGGGTCCTGCAGGCCTTCATTATAATTATTAATTACATAAAAAGGTTATATTAATTTTGACATGATAGCTGAAGTAACATATTGAAGCTTCCCTCTTGTCAAGCGAGTTTAAAAACACCTTATCATCAATTAATTTATTGACTAAAACTTCCCTTAAAAAATAAACATTTCAAAATATATTCATCCCCATTTCATATTACTAGATTAATATTCAGCAATTAATATCATTTATGTGAAGTTTTAATCATATTAAGAAAATATTTTCTTAGTTTACAGGGTTTCCCATCCAAAAAAGGAAAAGTATCAATTATAAAAGGAAAGGTCCGATCATGAAAGAAAGTATATCAATCAAAAAAGGAAAAGTGTTAATCAAAAAGGGAATGAAAAATTTTTTTTTTCTAAATACAAAGCATATAACAAAATATATGTTGAACATCATAAACAACTATTCATAATATTGGGGGGGGGGGGGGTGAATAAAAAAAAGCACTATACTTTATGGGGCATCACCTCTATGAAATATCAGAATTCAAATATATATAGAAAAAAAATATTTTGCCCAGCCTGGCCCAAAGCAATTATATGTTCCCTCTTGGCCGGGCGCAGACCTCTAATTAAAAATGTTATTTAATTTTCAGTAAATTTTTAATTGAATAGAAATTAATAAGTGTTAAATAAGTAATTTATTTGGTCCTTGATATCTCCAAAAATATAAGAGCTGGGATTCTAAAATATAAACACTGCTTTAGATATATATGCCAGAGACCTAAAGGTAAAATTTCAGGTCCAGATTTGAAAAAAACAACCTTATTTAAGCATTGTCAGAGATTTTTAAAAATATTTGTATTTAAGTCTAGTCTAGGATTTTTCTAAATAAATTTGGCCCAGCATGTATTTTTATTTTTTAGCCAGGCTTGATTATCTTAAAATATTGTAATTTTGATAAATTTTGGCTGTATTTTGCAAATTGTTTTAAATGGAAATTAAAAATATGAGCAGTAAATGAATATCCAAAGCTTTATTATATGACTTTTCAACATTTTGAAGGAACTGATTAATTAATATAATTTTTAAAAAAATTTAGGTTTGGTCTAGATTTTTTTTTATTTGGTCCATATTTTTAGTTAATAATTTTAAGCCTGGTCTACAGCTCTATGTGCCTTAATTTATATATAAAATATTCAAATCCCAAGGGGTCCCATAAAAAATACTGTTTTTTGATCAATTTGCCATGGAATAACCCTTAGTACATTAAGTAAATTATATAATTAACATCATCTTTAGAAAAAATTATGGTAATCATAAAGTAACTATTAGACTTGAGTAACTATAACTTATTTTTCAACTAAGGTAACTAGTTAGGTTTTGAACAAGGTAGCTTTTAATGTAACTAGTTGTTCTTGAAGAACAACTTTAACACCATTAAAAACTATCACCTTAAACTTGTAGTTTCTTTTAAGAAAAAAAATAAATACTTGCCTCAACTTCTCTGATTTTTTGTCAATCTTCAAATTACTCTATTTTAGACATTATTTTGCTATACTCACAAGCTATTATAAAATAGGTCAATTTTTTAGAGAGCTGCCTGGGTATATGGGAAAAGTCATAAATTGGCATGGTTCTAAAATGCTCAATGTTATTCAAAAGATAATATATTTATGAAAATGGGATGTAATTATATAAAATATATATAATTGATATAATACTGCATGAATCATTTCCATCAACAAAGGTTCCTGGTCTGGTTTCATATTTAAATCCTCTAGCTCAAATGATATTGTCTTTCTGGCCATTTTAAACTTCAATATAATTCAAAAAAGTTTAATAATTTTATATAAAATAATAAAATATACTATTATTCTAAGAATTAAAAATAAAATTTATTTAAAATTTGAATTCAGGAATAATTAAAGTGAACCTCATCCTCTGTAAAATTTGGTTGCAAGACAATTTCAGATATTATGTCAAATACTTTTTCAAGTCCTTTGATTTCTGCTGAAGCCGCATATATCAATGTATCTCTAATTCAAAAAAAATATGAATTTAATTCTATTATAAAATATATAAATAACTTTACAAGCATTTAAATTTTGTAAGTCATTTTTAAAAAGTTTAATTTATGTATAAATTTAATTTTAACATGGTATATTTGTCTAAAATTTTAAACATAATTATAACGTTTTACATTATTATATAAATTATAACTTTAAAATAGTGCATACATCTCAAAAAAAACATATAAACTGTAAATTAAAAATTAATTTACCGAGATGATTGGCAATCAAATATGCCACACTGTTTTTCAAATTCTCTAAGTATATGATCTTTATCTTTGTATGAATTTGTGGACTAAAATACATGTTTATATAATATGTAATAATGTAATAACATTAAATGAGAGTTTTTCTAAAAAATGATTAATACCACTAGGATAAGCAACCTCATATCTTGAACCTGAGTCAATTACAACTACATAAAAGTAATACTTTAAATGGTAATATATAATTACCTCCAACTGTACAAAAATGTCCAAATCTGTTTTCGGTAGCAACAGTTAACCCATTACTTAATTTAGTTATTTTTGTTTCATTTGATAGTTGAGAATTTTCATTAAAATATTTAATATTTGGTAAATATGGTAATGGTTTTGAAAGTGGTATATTACATCTAGATTTTAAGCAATATGTTCGCGGAGATTGTAGGTTTAAATAGCTATAATTAAAAAATTAAAAAATGTTTTTAAAAAATAACTTTTTTAGAGATTTCATTTTAGATGAATGAATGTAAACGAAGTATATATTAGTGAATGCGTATAAACGCTAGATTTTTAAAAACGGTTAACACGATATTTTAACAAGAAAATTTTGAAAGCCTTGAGATTTCGATAATGCTACCATCTATGAGGAAAATCTCCATGCTTGAATTTAATTTTTGGCTAAAATATTGGGAATGCCGTTTTAAAAATCAAGCCATTTAACAAATGTGACCTAAATAATTGACATAATTTAGAATGAATAAAAAGAAAAATACAAATATTTTTCATATCATAATCCTTAAGTAAACTTTAAAGATGACACAATTTACATGTTGAAGTTGAAATTTATAAATATTAACTTACATATAGATTCTGTATAGAAACCCTCACTAAAAATGATTAAAATGGATTAATTTATATTGATTATTATAAAAATAAAATTATAAAAATGACCAGTGGCGTAGCTATGGGGGGGGAATGGACTTCCCCCCCCCCCTCCCAGAGCAAATTTTTTTAGATTATACGTTCAGAAGACTCAAAAGTGACTTTATAAAATACCATAAATATTTATATTTTTCTAGTTTTGATGTTTGTGGAAAGATATTATATTAATATTGAAATTATTCTGGACAGTATTTTTATAAAGTCATTGAGAATAATCTACTAAATTATAATAGCATATTATTGATGCATTTAAAAAATGGGTGATACAAAGGTTTAGACATTATTAGTGAAATCTCTAGGCCTGAGCAATATTTTTTTGGCTAAAATATTGAGTTAGCTGTTTACAAAATCGGCTCAAATCGAGCCGTTTAACAACACTAATTAAAATGATAAATAATTCTAGGACTTTTATATTATAAGAAAAACAATATGATTTTTAAGATAAACCCGGCCAAGAAGGGTCTGGGCGAAGCCCCCTATGCTTTTATATGTATAGACCCCCTCTAAGGAAAATTCCTAGCTACGCCACTGAAATTGACAATGAAATTATATTATTTGTACTATATACAATTATTTGTGCTTTATAAATTGTATAAAAATATATATATTCTATAATAAATAAAATAGTGCTATTACAAGTATAATGTCCCCTTTCGTAGCATGACATATAATATTATTAAACGGCTCGCTTTGGGTCGATTTTTAAAATCGGCCCTAAGATTTAACCAAAATAATATTATGTAAGCCCAGAGATTTTGCTGATAGAAGGCAGAAAGGTTTGGGTCTATATAATTAGGCCGTTTTTAAAAATCGGCCCAAATCTCGGGCCGTTTAACAACACTAATGGCATACACAAAATAAATTAAGACCTAGTGGAGTTTTTTATTTGAATCAATATGATAAAGGTTAAAGATATATTTTGAAAAAGTTTATCATGGGATTAATTATCACCCATACTAGATATTTAGCTAATATTGTTTTATGCACTTTAATTCTTATAGGTAAATAATTTATAATAATTTCACATATATGGATGAACAGGAATAGCTTATGTCTTATCAGGGAAAGGTTTTCGCTTTGATATTGAAGGGTAATTACATCAAATTCCATGCTTATAATTATTAAAAGGTTTTTAGTTGACACATCGCCATACATGTGGGCGTGTATTGGCATAGGATTATCAATATCATTGTCAGTTGTTGGTGCAGCTTGGTAAATTATGAAATAATTTTACAATAACATAAAATAGGGGTATATTTACCACTGGTGCCAGTATATTGGGAGCTGGCGTTAAAGAACCTCGTATAAGAACCAAGAATTTAATTAGTATTATTTTTTGTGAGGCTGTGGCTATTTATGGAATTATATTGGCAATAGTAATTGGCAATCAAATTGAGGTTTGTTTTATATATGATATAATGTAATTTTATATCACTATGTGATATGATATATAAAAATTATATGTGAAATAATATTATTCATTAATTTTAAAGACTTCATATTTTATTTCCAACGAATGTTATATACTTAAAAGTTACAAAAATATTTTATAAATTTAATTTATTTACTATATTAATAGAAATTTGATAGATATGCACCCTCAGTTACACCTGAAATTTTGGCCTCAAATTTGTTTTCAGGTTATAATTATAAATTTTAATTTGACTACTTATTTACATTTGGATAAGAATAAAGTTTTAAATAAATTCAACTTAATTTTATATGAAAAAAAAAATGTTATGTAATATATTAATACATTATCATATCTAATAAGCAGAGATATAATACAAAAATTATGGGCCTTCACCAAAATTATTATCTGTAAAAATTTGACTTTCAAAATATCTTAGTCATAACCAACATACTGGATATTGGTGGATTGATACTTAGGGTTATTAGATATTATTGACTATTTTTTTCTTGAATACTATGGATAAATGCTAAATTATTAAACCCTCTAAAGGTTATTTTAGTATTTTTAAATAGCTGAGTTTTTATAACTGTGCCAAACTCCTGAGCCTAACTCCTAAATCATATTTTTTTAGAATTAACAGTTCTAAAAATGTAATTTGTATATCTATTTTTTTGGTTTATTTCAAAATGTGATAACATATATAAGGAATATTAAACATTTATTAAATATAATTATTATATTAATTTTAACATAACAAAACAATTTTATAACAATATGTATCACAATTCCAAAAAGTATAACTCTTTACATATAAACTTTAAGAGCTTTGATTAATCTATAAAAATGTGCCATATTTACTTAACTATTTACACAAAATTGATAATATATGCAACATTTGAATGTTTAACATTCTCAAACTGTGATTTTAAATATTTATAATATAAATTTATCTTTTAATTCTTTTTTACCAAACATTTTTTCTATACTATTGATAAAAGAATTTTTAATTTATTTAAAGGTGAAGGGTATTTGTAATAAAATATCTCAATAATTTTTGTTATACTATAAACTATGTATATACATATAATGTAATATAACAAAAAATATCAAACTTTAAATATTTTAATTTTAATGAAAATCTATAAAACAATCTTTTTAGGTTAAAAACATAAATATACTCCACATTTTTGGCTAGCTACTTTTGTTGTAAATTGACATACTGACATTTTACATATTCCTTTCTTAATATTTTAGGGCCAATGAGCTGCTAGGTCTTTTATTAAATATTCCTTTGGTAATTATTGGGTAGACCTTTCTTACATTTTTCACAATAACTAGTTTGAACCGATTTTCTTTTTTGCATATTTGATCTTCTGCCATATTTGCAAAGGACTTCCACCACCGAAATTTTGAAATTATATAAACTAAAAATTACTATCTTTGTGTTCAGAGTAAAGATAAAATCACGTCCGTATAACAGGCATGAATTTATGAGCAACATGTCAAATATAGGAAATAGTATCTATGATATTTTTTCTTGATTTAATATGAATTCTATTTAAAGAATCCACGAGATCTACATCTTCAATATATTTGTTATAAAACTATATTTCGACATTTTATTTCGACTATCTCTTTTTTCTATTATATCGTTCACAATCTTTTAAAGGATGCACACCTACAAAAGTGCTTAATAAGGCCACACACATAAAATATATAAAAAAAAATATACATTAGAAAAAATTATAAAAAAAAGTCATTAAAAATAACGCATAAAAATATTATTTAATAAAAAATATATATTTAAAAAAATTATATAGAAAAAATCACCTTTAAAAATAAATTAGATATATAAAGAAAATATACCTTAAAAAATTCATATGTCACTGAAACTAGGGTAAATTTTTAATATTATTTTTTTTTTTATTCAAAAATAATAAATATGCAATCATGTATATAGTGGAAATTTATTTTTGTCAAAATTTGCACAATTCTTTATTTTAACATTAAAAATGTAGTATATTATTTAAAATTTTAAAAGGGCATGTGCTATATTGGATGTTACTAAGTTAGGACTATTAAATCAAACTAAGCAATTTATTTGAATAAATATAATATATAAATATAAACTATGATAATATATATAATTTTAAGGACAAACAAAAATAGATCTATATAAATTTATATCATTTAATTAATTTACTTAAATTTGACCTATTTATAATATTAAGAAAATAACAATATTCTAGTGTTGTAAACATTTCAAAAAAATCGAACGCGTTCAACGTTCATTGACAAAAATCGAACACTTTCAAGAATAAAGGAACGCATTCATGTTCGTTCAAAATTTTATGATAAATTTTTTTTAAATTAATTTTAATATAAATAAATGTCTTATATTTTTTAACACAATATATTAGCCATTTTAAAAAATAATGTAGTTTTATTTTGATAAATATAATTATAAATACAATATAATATAATATAGCGAATAAAAAGATATTTTTATTTATAAAAAATTTTTCTTATTAAATTTTAATAACAATTGTTTTTTTAAATTTTTATCTGATAGACAGGAACACTTGGCAGTTAATACGGCATAAGCTATAACGCGCTCTACAGGGGCAGATGAGGAGATTGCAGTATTATACTTAATAAACAACTCTTTTAACGTGGAGAATTTATTAACATTTATTGTTTTGTCCTTTGCTTTAAAAAATTCAGATAAGTTATCCTCCTCCAATCCATCCTTTACTTACTAGTCAAAAAAAGGATATCTTGAAATTAACAGTTCTTGCATTAGCATTTCTAAAGTTTTCAATGCATTTTTCCAATAGTGCTGTAAGTTTTTTTTTATAGGTTCGTTCTGTGGAAGTTTTATCCATGGCCATTAAAGCTTGAATGGATGTTTGCAGAAAGAACATATTGGATCTTCATATATATGTTTAAATCTTTAAAAATATAAAATATATATAATTAATTTGATAATTTTGAGTTTAATACTTTTTATTAATCTCATTGAATAATACGTCTATCAATAGTTCACCATAGGTCAGTAATTTTTTTAATTTTCAAATAATTATCGTTATTGTTAGGGTCAAATAACCATAAATGCATTTTTCTTCAAATTTAATTATTTTACTTAGTTATATTATATAAAATAAAATAATCAATATTAAAATCAAATGTCGTTTTAAATTGGAACTTGAAAATTTTGAAACTGATATAATACTTTTTGGGTACATTTTATTGGTAAGTATTAATTTAGTTTCTTCAATATAGGATGTTACTGTAAAATATTTATCATATTTGGGCCATGGTAATGTTAATTCATCTGATTTTGAATTTTCAGAATCAGATAATGATGATGAAATAATAATATCCATGCTTATGCTAATTTATTAAATTAAAATATAAACAATAATATTCAAATTAATAAACTATAATAATGGTGTGTTAAAACAAATTGAAATGTGAAAAGGAAAAACAGCCGATTATAAAATATAAGACTTTTTTCTTAAAAAATTCGGATTAATAAATTTTTCACATAAATAAAAATAAAAGGTATTTTTAAAATTGAACGAACTTTAAATTCGAACGCTTTCTTCATAAAAAAGGAACGTGTTCACGCTGAAATTTCGTCAAAAATAAACACTGTTCATCATATTTTTCAAAAAACGAACTTCATTCACGAACGCGTTCACACTACAACATTCACATATAGTGTTGCGTAATCGGCTAAAAACTACGCCTAAGCCTAAAAATCGGCTAAGCCTAATTAGGTAAGCCTAAAAATCGGCTAAGCCTAATTAGGTTAAGCTTAAAAATCGGCTAAGTCTAAAAATCGGCTAAAATTAAATTAGTCAAAATTCTGCATCGTTGCTTAGCATTAATTATTATTTATTTATTTTATTTATAATTAATGTAAATATTTTATTATTATCAACAAATAAACATGATATGATTTAATATTTTTTATTTATATTATTATATTTTGAAATGAAAATAAATTTATTTATATGATGTTTTTTTAATAAAAAAAATAATATGCTGCTATATTGTAATAATGTAATATTCTTTTTAATATAATTTATTAGTGATTTTCACAATCTTCTTTGTAAATACATCTTTTATTGAGGAATTGTATTGTAAATTTTATTAGATAAACAATCTTTTAGGTGAAATCTTTTATAATTTTTTTAAAATTATCTATTTTTTATTAAATGAGGTGGATTTTATGAAACTTTTTTGATGTTATTTTATATGATCTTTTTAAGGATATTATATTAATGTGACAATTGTCATAATCGTTATTTTATAAGTTTTTTGAATTTTTTTGAAGAAAATATGTTAAAATAAGTATTAATAACATGTGTAAATATAAATTTAGTGAAGATGTACCAATGAAAAGTGACAATTGTCATAATCGTTATTTTGAATTTTTTTGACCACAATATGTTAAAATAAGTATTAATAACATGTTTAAATAAAAATTTAGTGAAGATGTACCATAGAAAATTAACATGTTTAAATAAAATTTAGTGAAAATGTACCATAGAAAATTGACAATTGTCATAATCGTTATTTTTAAAGTTTTTTGAATTTTTTTGACGAAAATATGTTAAAATAAGTATTAATAACATGTGTAAATTTAAATTTAGTGAAGATGTACCAATGAAAAGTGACAATTGTCATAATCGTTATTTTTAAAGATTTTTGAAGAAAATATGTTAAAATAAGTATTGATAACATGTTTAAATAAAATTTAGTGAAGATGTACCGTAGAAAAGTAACAATTGTCATAATCGTTATTTTTAAAGTTTTTTGAATTTTATTGACAAAAATATTTTAAAATAAGTAATGATAACATGTTTAAATATAAATTTAGTGAAGATGCACTCTAGATAAGCGACAATTGTCATAATAAAATTAGTGCTATAATTAATATTATAAATTAAGAAATTAAAATGAAATATTTATTTTTTTTTAAGCTAAAGATAATTTGATTGATAAATAATCAATTATTTACTCGACATTTTTTTTTCTATTTTTTCATAAAATTTGATGTAAATATTAATAAATTTTTTTATTAAATATTTTTAAAGGTGATTTTTATTCATATTAAGTGTTGTTTATGAATTTTAAATGTGTTTTGTAAATAATTTATTTATGAGATAGCAGTAGAGGTGTTATTTGCATGACCCTAATTTTTAAAATATAAAATTT